CCATTTCAAGGAATGCAATAAAAATTGCTGACTTCAGGTCCACACATAAGCCAGGTGTTCTGCAAGGCCCAGGTCGCGAGCCTCAGGCTGTGGTGCTGAGGACTGGGAGTGGTTCTCTTGGCCACTTATTTGCTGATATTTCAGAAGAATGACATCAACAAAATAGATAAGAACCCAGGCCTTTACTTCCCAGAAACTAAGACTTAATGGCCCTGAAAGAAGCCTAATGAAGTGAATGGAAACAAAGCAGAGAGATGACATGACGTAAAGGTTTGAGTCAGTTGCTCACAGAGCAGACAGCCACTTGTCACTCACTCGCCTTGCTGTGCCGGACAGCAGGAGGCGGCCAGATGCCCAGCCTCTCCCTGAATGCATGTTTAACCAGAACAAAACAAAAATTAAAAAGAGATGCATTCATTGCCAAAGAGAAAATCTAACATCTATAACACAGGAGAGGACACGTTGGCCTTTATGATAATAATGGCAGTTAATGTTTACAGAGCCCTCGACAGAGCTTTTGTTTGAACATATTCAGTCCGTGTGGGACAGACTAGTATCATCTCCATTTCATAAATGAGGAAACTGAGGCACAGAGCGATCACCTGCCCAAGTCACACAGTGGTGTAATAACGGGTGTATCAGGAGGCCCTACAGACATAGATAAGCAACATAATAATGTAACTAAAACAAAAATAAAATTCTTATATCTCTCTCACTAAAACCCATCAAGCAGAGCCCAAATCTACAGGAGACTCAAGTCAGCATCACCACTTCAGCTTTTCAGTATTCCTGGAGCAGACAGAGCCTTCCAGAAACAGCCCTGAAAGCATCAATTCTCCTTCAACCTGCTGGACAGAATATCTCCACGTCCAATGCCTCACGTGGGTGTCATATGGCATTCAATGGATGCTATTAACAGACGATCTTTCCTTCACCCCTCCACATCTATGTCTCATGAAAATACCTGAGGCTGCCATCTCTGCGCCTCATTTATTGACTATTTCAAAGTCCAATCGTTTCCCTGGAATTTTAATAACACAAGAGTAATACCCACGAGACAGAGAGTAAGAAGGAACCAATGGGAGCAAATCGCAGAATACTCACATCATCCCCCCCAAAAGGCCGAAATCACCATCGTTTCCTATATCAGAGAGACAGTTACAGCACTGGGCAAGTAAACGAGTGGTTTAATTCTGACTCCGCAGCTCACTGCCTGATCACTTCACCTCTTTTGACTCAGTGCCTTCCTCTGTAAAGTGGAAGCAGACCCTCGTGAGAATAAAGAGAAAATGTTCATTAAAGCACTTGTTAAACTCTAGGACAATATGTACACAGTTATAATGCCCCTCATAGGCAATTGTATAAGAATAGTAGTAAATTAATAAGCTCTACCACATTTCAAA